AACATATTCCTGTTACAGTTCTATCAGGAGCAAGCTCCTCAGGTATATCCCAAAATTTCCCTCCTATTTCTATGGTTTCCATTCTATTGACCCATAATTTTACACCTACCCAGTCCCCATTACGTCACTCTACTATGTTCTTTAACTCTCCATTACAACCTACTATTACTGTTCACCCGCGTGCTACTGTAGCACCGACCCCACCACCATACCTTTCACCCATTATCCCAATTGTTTCATCACAACCCTATGCTATCCCATATCTGCCCTAAATTCCCTATACCCAAATCCCTAACATTCCACCACCATACCTTTCACCCATTATCCCAATTGTTTTACCACCAGAAAATCGTTTATCATTGATTTCTTTTTATCTGAAAGGGGATGCTTTATCTTGGTTTAAATGGATGCACCCGAATCACCTTTTAACAGATTGGTTTTCCTTTATAAGGGCTTTGGAATTATGCTTTGGTCCTTCTACTTATGACAACCACCAGGCTGAGTTATTTAAATTGAAACAAGAAGGATCTGTTGTTTTGATTACCAAACACGGTTTGAAAAATTAGGGAACCAGGTTGTGGGATTGCCACAAGATGCTATTCTGAATTGTTTTATTTCCGGGTTAAAAGCTGAAATCCGTAATGAAATGGAAATCCATCATCCATCATCTATTTCACAAGCTATTGGTCTAGCCAAACTCATTGAATCTAAGCTACATGATTCTAAACAAAAATATCCAAAACCATACTAAAATACCTTTAACCGCATACCACCATACAACAAAACGCCTACTGACCCAAAACCATCTACCACCCCCAACCTACAGAACTTCCTATTCGGCGCCTGTCTAATACCCAAATGCAAGAACGCTGAGCCTAAGGACTTTATTTTAATTGTGATGAAAAATTCATCCCGGTCACAAATTCCTTTCAAACAGATTTCTATTACTTCTTGCTGAAGATGATTTATCAGAACCCAACCAAGAGGAGGAAGATTCTCAAGAAGAAGCTGCTGGAAACGATTCAAGTAACACCTATTTTCAATTGTCCCCCCAAGCCTTGACAGGCCAGTTTTCACCCCAAACACTTAAGTTTAAAGGCTTGATTGGAGAACTTCAGGTTATGGTCTTAGTGGATACGGGCAGCACTCATAACATCCTTCAACCAAGGATTGCCCACCATCTTAATCTCCAAACTACCCCTATCCCCCAATTTTCAGTTATGGTTGGAAATGGATCTCATCTCCAATGTGAGGGCATTTGTAACAATGTCAAACTTACCTTACAAAATAAGCCATTTTCACTTCCCTTCTACCTTTTACCAATAGAGGGTGCAGGTGTTGTTTTAGGCATGGCATGGCTACACACTCTTGGACCCATCAATGCTGATTTCTCCATTCCTTCTATTACCTTCACTCACCAAGATACACTAATTACCCTCAAAGGCAACCCAAAAACTCTACCCTCCTTAACAACCTTTCACCAACTTCGCCACCTTATTCACACAGATTCCATTGCTTCCCTCCACCTCATGACTTTCCTACCTACTGAAACAGGAAACCAACTCAAACAACCATTCCAATCATTACCTTCCAAATCCGAACTTCACTCACTCCATCCCATTGAACCACCAAATGTTTCTCCAACCACCAATTCTCCACTCGACCCTAACATTGTCAGTCTCATTGAAAAATACCCAACTATCTTCCATAGATCCCTAAGCCTTACACCTTCTAGACCTTATGACCACCGTATTCCCCTACTTCCATCTACTGTACCTATTAATGTTAATCCCTACAGATACCCACACTCCCAAAAATAAGCCATGACCTCCCTCATTCAGGATATGTTAAGGGAAGGCATCATTATCCCTAGTAACAATTCTTTTTCCTCTCCAGTCCTTCTTGTCAAGAAAAAGGATGGCAGCTGACGATTTTGTGTTGATTATCGCGCCTTAAACACGGTTACAATCAAAGACCGCTTCCCTATCCCTACTATTGATGAACTTTTAGATGAGTTGGGTAATGTAACAATATTTACCAAGATAGATCTACGCTCAGGTTATCATCAAATACGAGTTTCATCGGAAGATACTCATAAAACGGCATTTCGAACATTTGACGGTCATTACGAGTTCCTAGTTATGCCTTTTGGTCTAACAAATGCACCATCTACCACTACTAGAAAACTACATTTTAGCTGCGAATTTAGCCTCGGCCACCGACACTGAGGCTAACTAGCCTCGATAAAACCCAAGCTATACAAACGCAAAAAAAAAGCCATTTTAAAAATATCTTTTACAATTATTTTTATTTAATTTATTAGACATGGCTAGGCCGAGGCTAGATTTTTTTTTAATTTTTTAATTATTTTTTAAAAATATTAGATACGAACGAGCCGAGGCTAACTATTTTAGCTGCGAATTTAGCCTCGGCCACCGACACCGAGGCTAACTAGCCTTGACAAAACCCAAGCTATTCAAACGCAAAAAAAAATCCATTTTAAAGTTACTTTTGACAATTATTTTTATTTAATTCATTAGACATGGCTAGGCCGATGCTAGATATTTTTTAATTTTTGAATTATTTTTTTAAATATTAGACACGGATGAGCCGAGGCAAATTATTTTTATTTGCTTCAGCGTCCAACCTGTTCACTCCCAATCCCTATTTTATCTTCTTCTTCTACTCTCGTTATTTCTCCTTCAAACCTTCCTCCATTTCTTCATCTTCCAACAATAACAATGTCTACCGTAGCAACAACAACGACACCGTTATCCGGTACAATTTCATTCCCAAACAACAATAATACTATCCTTCTCAAACATTCTTCTCGTTATTCCTATCTCCGTACATCCTTCTCTCTAACTCTAACCCTAACCCCCACCAAAACCCTTCCATGGATTCTTCTTAACCACTCTTTAAACTCAAACTCAGAAAGGTATCCAAGGTGTCGCCTAACTCAAACAACTCTACAAAGATAAGGTTTTTATTTTTACTCTACTATCTTCTGTTTTAGGGTTTTTCTAATTTTACCTCTGTTCACACTATACTGTTTAGGCTCTATAACTTACTCATTGTATCAATTACACTACTGCTTAATATCTTCAAACACCCAAATGGATGCTTGTTTACTCTAATGTCAGTGTTATGTCTTATTCATTTTCTGTTTTCAAGGGGATAAGATTGACAATATTATCATCAAGTTTTGACTATTTTTGTTGCATGCAGTTCTTCGGCAAATCTAGTGACCAGATGGTGGAGTATCTACAGAGTTCTGTTGGAATTATCCACAAGAACCATGCTGAAAGTATAACTACTTTCATTAAGAAGAGTGTCAATGAAGAAATTGATGATAATTCCTCTGGGAAGCAATCTTCGCAGAAGAAGCGACTTATGTTCTGTGTCGAGGGTAATATCAGTGTTGGCAAGACTACTTTCCTCCAGAGAATAGCCAATGAAACTATTGAGCTGAGGGATCTCGTCGAGGTGGTTCCTGAACCCATTGGTAAGTGGCAGGATGTTGGACCTGAGCACTTCAATATCCTCGATGCTTTTTATGCTCAGCCAGAGAGGTATGCATACACCTTTCAGAACTATGTTTTTGTTATTAGGGTGATGCAAGAAAGAGAATCTGCTTTGGGTTCCCCGTATGTGGAGCTGGTTCTTCTTCTTTAGCCTTTCGACACCTCGATGCTGATGATTTTCGTCATCCTCTTGATAAGCAGGTTTTTCTCCCATTTCAAGTTTCTTAGGATTGATAGAATACCTTATATGTGGATTGAATATGATTTTGCTTTTCATCTACAAAATACGCAGATGCTGAGAGCGATTCTGGGATTGAATCAACTGGGAAAAGCTCTTCTAGGTATTGAACATTTGAAAACTCCTGCTTCTTTTAATGTGGAGTTCGTCGTACCTAGTGGGAAGATTATACTTGGTTGTTTGATCTTGTTTGTCTGTTATGTTATAAAAAGAAAGCAAGCTCATTTGAAAAGGTGACCACTTGAATTCTTGGCTACCTAGTAGAATCTCATGTCCATATCCTCTCATACTAGAGTTGTGTGTCAAAAATAACTTAGCTTAAACTAATCTTTATTTTTCTACTATTTTGGTGTTGGTTTTCTTTTCTGGGCTGTTGTTAATGTTCTTATATGAATTTCTGAATATGGTCACTATTCATGTTTTAGGACTGTAAAAAGACAAGTGGTTGCAGTAAAGAGGGCTTTGGTCGATTTGTGGCGGCTTGCATTTTCATATCAAGTTAATCCTTTAGCCTCTTTTGAAAATGAAAATGTGGTCGATTTGTGGCGGCTTGCATTTTCCAATGAAAATGTGAATTTACAATTAAACATTCTGATGATGTGAATTTATAATTGTCATAACAGGTACTGCAGTTATGATTGTCATGCTCGTTACGACGTTCCTTATGATTTTAATCATGATATTAGTGTGGCGCTGCCACTGGATTCTTGTACTCGCCTTCACTTGCTTATCGTTGATTGTGGAATTCTCATACTTCTTCTCTGTAAACTTCAAAGTTGATCAAGGTGGCTGGGTTCTGCTTGTAATCGCGAGAGCATTTCTTGTTATAATGTATGTCTGACATTATGGTACGCTGAAACGCTACGAGTTTGAAATGCATAGTACGGTCTCAATGACATGGATTCTCGGACTTGGCCCAAGTTTAGGACTCGTTCGTGTACCCGGAATTGGACTAGTCTACACAGAACTTGCAAGTGGAGTACCACCGATCTTTTCTAATTTCATCACCAACCTACCAGCCATCCATTCCGTTGTTGTTTTCGTATGCGTCAAATATCTTCCTGTTTACACCGTACCTGAAGAAGAGAGGTTCCTTGTCAAAAGAATCGGACCAAAGAATTACCACATCTTCCGATGTGTTGCACGGTATGGCTATAAAGACCTGCACAAGAAAGACGACGAGTTTGAGAAAAAAACTCTTTGATAACCTCTCAATGTTTATTAAGCTTGAATCCATGATGGAAGGTTGTTCAGATTCAGACGAATACAATTTATATGGACAAGAAACAAAGTTGTTGCCAAGAGATGGCCTGTTGAATAACAACGGGAGCACGTTTTCTTCGAATGTGGAGTTCACAATCAACTCAATTAATTCAATAGTACAAGTTAGATCACCGCCGCCACATGTGAGTAGTAATACTCTTAGGTCCTCCGGTCAAGTGAGCAGCCAAACTGAGATTGATGAAGTTGAATTTTTGAATAACTGCAGGGATGCAGGGGTGGTTCACATATTGGGAAACACAGTTGTAATAGCAAGGAGAGACTCAAATTTCTTCAAGAAATTAGCTGTTGATTATATTTATGCATTTCTTAGGAAGATTTGCAGGGAAAATAGTGTGATCTTCAATGTTCCTCATGAGAGTCTCTTAAATGTTGGTCAGATTTTCTCTGTATAGTAGCCTCACAAATCATTTTAGGATTGCCATCTTATGCAGAGTCGAGGTAAGTTAGGCATACGAACATCACATTGTTTATGGTAATCAACTCTTTGGTAATTATTTGTTCAAAATTGGAAGTAAATATCAGAGTCAATCGCGTTTTTGGTTGAGATTATTTTCAACACAAGATAACTGCGGTTCTTAATACATTATTTGTGCTTTTCAAGACTTTTTAAAATTGGTTTATAATCGCTTTACTGGTACAAAGTAGTATTTATCAGTACCGTTTAATATTAATACTCCATCTGGGCTATTTATTTTTTAGATTTATTGACTTATGAAGTTTGACTTTAGCCTCGAATAAGCCGAGGCTAAATATTTTATTGACTTATGAAGTTTGAACTTAGCCTCGAATAAATCGAGGCAAAATTATCCTTTAGCCTCAACCAGGACCAAGGCTAAATATTTTGTTTTGACACAGCTAAACCGAGGCTAATGTAGACACGGATAAACCGAGGCTAATTTAGACACGGATAAACCGAGGCTACTGTAGACACGACTCTTTTTGGCCAAAGCTAAATGTTAGCTTCGATCATTTTAGCCTTTCCCCGACACCGACGCTACGCCGAGGCTAATTGGCTAGTAGCAGCGTTTTTTTTACCTTATAGTGTCGATAAATGGCTGAGGCTAAATACTGTATTTCTAGTAGTGTACATTTCAATCTGCTATGAACGAACTGTTAAGACCTTACCTTCAACGGTTTGTTTTAGTATTCTTTGATGATATACTCATTTTCAGCTCATTCATGAGCGATCACTTCTTCCATTTAGATATTATTTTTAATGTTTTAAAGTCCAATTCATTTCTTGCAAAATTTTCAAAGTGTGTTTTTGCAGTTAACAAGGTGAATTATTTGGGTCATGTTATATTAGAAGGTAGTGTTGCTGCAGATCCAGAAAAAATTCAGGCAATAGTGGATTGGCCGGTGCCACGTTCTCTCACGGCATTGCGGGGTTTCCTCGGTCTAACCGGTTTCTATAGACGCTTTATGCGCCATTACGCCACTCTCGCCGCTCCTCTCACCGATTTATTGCGTTCTACTAAATTTTCATGGAGTACAGAGGCTACTTTGGCCTTTACAGAATTAAAAAAGAAAATGACCGACATGCCGGTGCTGTCTTTGCCGGACTTCACAAAAACATTTATCATTGAGACTGATGCTTCTGGAGTTGCAATTGGTGCTGTCCTCTCCCAGAATGGCCATCCCCTCGCCTTTTTCAGCAAAAAAATGTGCCCTCGTATGCAGTCCAGTTCTGTCCATGTCCGTGAGATGTACGCTGTAACATAATCAGTCAAGAAATGGCGTCAATACTTAATTGGTCAGAAGTTTCAGATTTGCACAGATCAAAATAGTTTAAAGGATCTCCTAATGCAACGAATTCAAACGCCAGAACAACAAAAGTGGGCTTCAAAACTTCAAGGATTCAATTTTGAAATCTTTTACAAACCTGGTCGATCGAACCTTGTAGCAGATGCTTTAAGCCGCAAGTTTTCCGCTCAAGAACCACCTCTTCTAATGGCTCTCACGTCTGCCATTCCCGATCTGGTCACCCACCTCCGCCATTACTATGCCACAGATTTGGCAGGACAAGAGTTAGTGAAAAACACGACTCAGATGGAAAAAATGACTACACGTTTTCTAAAGGACTACTGCTTTTCCGAGAAAGACTGTACATACCTTTTAATCAATTAAGGTTGGCACTCATTGATGAGTTTCATAGTACACCAACTTCGGGTCACTCGGGTGTCAAACCAACAGTTGCTAGACTTGCTGCTTCCTTTGCTTGGCCGGGACTCCACACCGAGGTTACGAATTTCATTAAACACAACATAGTTGTTGCACCCCAAAATTTGCCCAACATTTCTCTACCTAGCTTGTGTTTCATTTCATTCACATTAGCATTATCATTTGCATTTCATTGACATGTATGCAGGAGATCAAGAGGTATGATTACCAATCAAGGGCTACACAAGACTATGAAGCTAGCTAAAAAGCTTATTCAAGGGGTCAAGGGTTGATATCCTTGTCAGAGAAGTTAAAAGATCCTCAGAGAGAGTGGTCGAAACCAAGTATGTGGGTCTCCTAACTTGAGAGTTATGGGGGATACCATCAGATGATTCTGAAGGCATGAGGATGGACTTGAGGTCTTGATAGAGCTCATGAGAAGTGTTGAAGATCACTTTGAGGCCTAGATAGGTCATTGTGCAAGATTAAGAAGGCTCAGCCATGAGTGGTGCAATTAGGGTTTGACTGGGTCAACCCTAAGTCAACTGATGATTTGAAGGAAGTTGAAACTTAATTCAAGAGCCATGTGATCATGGATTGATACATTGAGATGTCATAAGGATGATTACAAGGTCAACTCATCATGATTGAATAGTTTGAGAAGTTTCAGGCTAGGGTTTCTAAGACTTGACAGTGTAAAATCCCCTAGTTTGACCCCTGACTTCAAGACTATTTAACTCAAGATATGATTGTCATCTCATCTTGACCCTAACATGATTGTTGTAGGTCATGATCGTAGCTTTAATTTGAGTACTAGAAGTCCTTTATAGGTTTTATAGAACTCAAGTTATGAGCCAGACAAGTTACAAGTCATCTGAGGTATGTGAATTTGGAGCTTGAAAGTTACCCAACTTGCATGACATTTTTTCCCAAGAAGGATGATTCCTATGAACTTTTGGTCAACATGAATGCTGTTCCTTATCCTCTTAGCTTTCCATAGAGTGCTAGAAGTCCATGATTGGATTTATAGAACTAAAGTTATGGCTTTGACAAGTCAAGGGTATTTTGGGAAGTTGTGATTATGGGTCATTTTTGGTTATGGGTCATTTTCACCAACTTAGACATCCAAATGAAATTTTGTTCAACATGAAAGTTGCTCAAAATTGGGTTTTAAATTTGACCATGTATCAAGGAGGCATTGAAATGGCTCAAGGAGAGACTTGATTCAAGAAATTGTGAAAAAGGAAGAATTAAAGAGAATTAAAGACCAAAAATTCAAAATAAATGTTATGTGAGCAAATGAGGCAAAATAATAGCATTTTTTGAATGGAAAATACATTTTGAAAAAAATGACATTATTAGAATTTAGGTTTGAGCTCATTTTCATGGCCTTTTGCCTTGATACTTCATGAAGAAGTTACATCTCAAATCCAAGCCATGGGATGAAAACAAGGGATGAATCCCCACCATTCAAGTTCAGTGGTTCACAAGGAGTGTGCTGAAGGTTTCCTGAAAGAGAAATGGATGAGATATTGTGACTGCCATGGATGAGATATTGAAGAGAAATTGAAAATTGAAATTCTCATTATGAACCTTTGAGAAGGATCTAGAGCATTCAGTTACATCCTATATAAGCCTATGAATGCATTCAGTTCATTTTTTGGTGAAGATTGAAGCCTGAAGCAGAGAGTGAAGTTGAAATTTCAGAGGTGCAAGTGAGAATCGATTTCTGAGTTCAAGGCTAAATCAAGATCAATTGAAGGTTTCATTGTGTTCATCAAGTGATTTGGAGTGTATATGCACTTTCTTGAAGGCTGAAGAGTGCAAGAACTACCTCTGTTACAAGCTTGAACACAGGTTGGTACATTTCATTTTTGCGCTTGATCTAGGTAGAGATAGTTACAATTCTATAGGTGTTTAGGATCCTGGTGACATGTAGTTGGATTTAGGATCAGAAATTGGTGAATTAGAGACAAAGTAAGTTGATGATCAATTTCTGTTGAGCCTTGGATTAGGTGATTCTTGGACTGTTAATCAAGATTGGATAGTGTAGAATGATCACCATGAGATGAGGATTACATCTGTGCATTTAATTGAGGTTCTGATGAAATTCAAGATTGATGCATATTTTGGAAGTGCTATTGGGTTTGAAAATCCATAGGGAGTTAGATGATTCTAAAGATATATTCGTGATCAACATTAAATTCTAGAGAGAATGATGTATGGTTTGTGAATTTTTGATGACCTGTGTAAATGTCTTCGCCGGAGAAGACGGTGGCGCCACCGTCTGGTTTCCCCCCCCAAACTGAAGTTCAAATGAAGAAGAAACGCAGGAGCCATTGGATCTTGTCTGAAGCTTGACCTGGTAACCCTCACGCACGGCCACGATTGAATTTGAGTTGCTGACTTTGACTAAAGCAAAACGCACCATTTTCATTAATGTGCTGGCAACATGAGGACGTTTGGATTCATTGACTGGTCTTACCATCGTTTTTTCAGAAGCTTGCCACATCACCCTGCCTCAAAACGCCCCGTTTTGGATTAACGAGTGATTCAGAGGAAGGGATGAGTTCGAACCTTGGCGCATGCATTTTCTTTCATTTTAATTTTGGAATGGAACCCTGAAGAATTCAAAGCGCTGGGCCTAATGTTGAACTGATGTTCACACCCCCCTTTTTGGCCCAATCCAGAAAATGAACTGAAGCTCATTGCTATTCACCACGCGCCCCTTACTAATTTCTTTTCTTTTTCTTATTTTCTCTATTTTTGGTTTGTTTGATTTTAATCCATTAAAAATAGAAACATTAGTCAATTAATTCTGAGTTTTTTTCCCCTGATTCATGAATGAATTTAAAAATTTTAGAAACAAAAAGATTAGGATTAGAATTTATTTTCATTTTATTTGATTTTTTCCCATTTTATTTGACAATAAAATTGTATTAATTGCTTCATCTGTTTGGTGAATTTTGTTTGAGCATTTGGTATTGAGTTTGTGCTTAATTTTTGGCTTGTGATTAGGTTAGATATGTATGCTCCCCTTACATTTTTCTCACATTTTTGTGATGAAGTTAGGTGCTGTTTTAGGACTAGAACTTTAGGAGATCCCTTTTAGGGTTTAGGTGTGATACCTTGAGGTTTAGAATTTTATTTGGAGGACTTAGGTAATGATTTAGGCCCTAATTTTTTAACTATAGGTTATTAGTGAATGCATGTTCCCATAGGAAAATAATCA